GTGGTGGGGTGGGGTGGTGGTGGGATGTGGTAGTTACGGTGATAGTGGGATGTGGATTTGAGGAGATGTGGGTTGCAGTTGGGGGGGGCGGGTGGGGGAGGGGGGGAGGAACTTTTGAAGGGGTGAATTTATGAGACGAAAGACACGTGGCATGGATGAATGAAGGCGGGTGGCTGTTGGCGGTGGGGGCGGTTGAAGTGGTGAAATTTTGAGACGAAAGACACGTGACATGCACAAATGAAGGTGGGTGGCTGCTAGCTAGTGGGGGGGTATTGAACGCGCGGCACAGGAGAGGAAGAACAGTGGATAATGTTGTAAAAACACACACAACACGCTCTACGCGTTTATCATTGTACATTTCAGACTGTCGGCTGGGGTACAGCGCTGGCCTACCAAGCCTCTTACACTTATCAAGCGTTCATTGTATTACGATACCTCCTGAGCGGATCCCTATTGTGCTCCTCCAAATTCCTCGGAAGAATTCTCTTCACACCCCCACCACTGTAAACTGCTCCGCCCCATCGGCTGCCACCTCTCCTCGACGTGCCTTCAGTATCCACGACACCTTTGACCTCTCCCCAGCGTGGATCATGTCATTGTCACTTCTCCTCCACTTCTATACGGTACTTCGACAGACTGCACATCCACCACATCTATTTCCTTCTCCCTCCTCCACACACCCTTCCCCAACCCCCCCCTCACTCACCCGCCTCCCCCCATCTGGATCCTCACTTCGTCCTTTTTCTTCTTTTCATCCTGCTCTGTGCTGCTCTCCTCTCCTCCCCAGCCTCCCACCGCCCCTCTGCATCTGCGTACCTGGACCCTCCCTCCGTCTTCCACAAATTCCGTCACCATTTCCAGAATAGCTGCCATTTCGTCGTCGGCCTCGGCCTTGCCGGGCCTCTCCTCCTCTTCGGAACATGCTTCCCAGCCTCCGTCTGCTCCTCCGCCCCCGCCCCCGGAGCTCATCGTCGGCTACGTTTCGTCCCGCAAGAAGCAACGCCAGTTTTTTGATGGCCTGGAAACCACCGCCACCAATTGGACAGGTCGTTTAGGCCCGCACGGCACTCCCGTTTCCGTACGTCTAGTACGCTTGACTGATGATCAACCTATACCATCTACACTGCACGCTGTCTTTCACAAACGAACGGACGATATGGCCGCCGCTTTGGCAACTGACGACTACGATGCTAAACAGCGTTGTTTAAAACTTGAAGAAATTCTTCAAGACCCCCGATTTCCATCCCCAAGATTCTTGTCTCGTCGGGACAACATTCCGCACAGGTCCTACCCTGTTGTTGCAATCGATCCACTTCAGGGCGTCTGGAAGCTTGTCGATCGCACTGTCATCGGTCAGGCTGTAGACAAGACTTTTGGAAAGAAGGCCGAATCCATGTTTAGGTCTGGCATTAACAGTGCCTCTTCTATCCCGTGGGTTCAAATTAGCGGGGAGCAAACTATTGACCAAATGAGGGACTTGCTTCAAACTAATCTCAACTTCCCTATCATTCTCAAGCGGAGGCTTGCTTGCGGCTCACAAGCGAGTCACGAGATGGTTATAGCCGACGACATAGAATCTGCCATTAGTGCGATTCACGATGTCTTCCGCCCTGGCCCGGTGGGTGTAGAGAACGGCAAACCCGTGGGCAATCGATTCCTCAAGGGCTTAGCGCGGCCTGCAAATCATTTTGGATTTGATGTCATCGCTCAGGAATTCATTGCAGACCACGGCGGCATTCTCTTCAAGATCTACGCTGTTGGGAAGCGGCTTGTGGTGCAACCGCGCCCTGGAGTGGTGCGCAATCTAAAGGGACCATCCGGCAGCTACTACTATTTTGATTCACAACAGCTTGGACGTGTCACCGGCTTGGGGAGACATGAGTTTGATGCAAACACCGGTCGATGCATAGGCACGAAAGCTATCATGCCGAGTGAGAAATTGGCGGGCGAAATAGTGGCTGCATTGTCGAAGGAGTTGGGGCTAAGTCTCATCGGGGTGGACTTGGTATATGATGTGGGGCAAAAAAAATATTATGTGGTGGATATTAACTACTTTCCCGGATACAAGGGCATTGCTTGTGCAAACAGATGGATTCTACAGCACATTTGTGATTTGGTCTGGAAGACATTGCATGCTGTGGAGGAGGGTAAATAAGCGTGCGGAGTTGTTTTCCAACGAGAATTCATGCCATGGCCTACCCGTCTAGGACACGTAGGTAGGCAGGTAGCCCGATTTGCCGCACGTGCTATGCATTCGATGGTTAACTGCGCAACTGTGTAAGACAGAGACCCTGTCGTGACCGGCAGAAAGTCAATTTCCCGGCGAGTTAGAATAGGACCAGTGGCCATGCTTGGCGATGATGTGTTTTTCTGCAGTTTGACATGAAGAAGTGAGGTACTGTATGCGTGAAGTTGGGTCGTTGGATATTTATACAACGGGGCATTGGACAGCCTGAGTTTACAGTGGTGGCAAAAAATATAGCACTCCAGCTTGAAGTACAGGGGGGGGGGTCGCGCAATAGTGCCTAGTTTAGTAGTGCCTCCCTCTATATAGTGCTATGCCTCAGCCTCTGCCACAGGTTATCATAAGCTCACACGTGTATCATCTGGCATGGTTCAATGTTACGATATGGAGGTGCGGTGGCGGGAAAACATGGCGATGAGTGCTCACCTGTATCAGGATCCGCTTCAGTCAAGCAATACCTGCGACAGCCCTGGTACAATGGGCGCTCTCCCCTTTCCCCCCATTGTCTTTCAACCCATCACCACATGATCCCTTATCAACAACCTTAATGTCGCCTATCAATAACGTTCAAGTTTCAGTTCGCCAACCCCCAAAAGATGCCCGCACACGACTCACTCTAAGTGAGAAAATTGAGGCGGGACGTTTGCTCAAACTCGGTCATTCAGCTGAGCATATCATGAAGAATTATCATGTGTCACGGCGAACTGTAACCAACATATCTTCGAACATTGACGCAATTATGAAGAAAGCGCAGGCAGCAAACGTGTCGATGCATGCCAAGACAATGAGGTCTGCGCAATTTCCCAAGCTCGAAACACAAATTATGCATTTTATATCCCTCGCTCGCTCTGCTAAGATGCCAGTCACTCATGCCATAATATTATACAAAGCATTATGCTTGAAAGAGGAACTTCTCAAGCAAGACATTTCTGTTGACGAAGCAAGTATGCTTGAAACTTTTACAGCTTCCCGGGGATGGACGGATAAATTCGTAAGGCGCCATTCGTTCCGTTCGATAGCGCTCCATGGAGAAGCTGGAAGTGTTGATGTGACTGGTGTGGCTGCTGATATTGTAGCCTTGCGGAAAAAGCTTCGCGAGTATGAACCACCAAATATATATAACTTTGACGAGACGGGATTGTTTTTTAAACTTCTTCCCGGCAGAACTTACATTTGTACAAATGAGCATAAGAAGTCTGTACGTGGCACAAAAGCTATGAAGGCAAAGGATCGTATCACTGCGTACGTGGGTACGAACGCAGATGGAACATGTAAATAGCCTATGGCAATTATTGGAAAGCCTATGAATCCGAGATGCTTTAGGCTTGGGACACCACTTGTTACGTATTTTAGTCAGGGCAACGCATGTTCCGACTCAGTGACATTCAAGAAGTGGTTTAATAATTTGTTTATACCCTTTGTGCGAAGCAAAACGTCCAAGCCCGTTGTTCTCCTCACGGATAACTGTGGTCCTCACGGCACAGATATTGTGGACCACACAGGACAGATACAAATTATAACATTACCTCCTAACTGCACTGCTGCTCACCAGCCTATTGACTTGGGAATAATTGCGTCATGGAAGAGCAAGTATAGGAATTCCATGCTGAGGAAAATCGTTATGGATATAGAGCATCGATCTGAGAGGCGAGAGACAACTAAGGCGAAAAAGAGGGGCACGAGAGGTATTGGGAAAGGCTATAACCCCCACATGCTCCACGTCGCGGAGATGGTCTTCGACACGTGAAGGGAAGTCACACAGCAAACGATAGTTCGGTGTTGGAATAAAGCAGACATAATGCCGTTGGAAATGCAGGCCAGTTTGGCTGCGACACACGGGAAAATGCGCAGCAGTCGGCTGACAATTGAAAAACGCGTGCTGGATGACATAAGTTCAATGATGAGATGTCTATCCATAAATATTTGTGAAACGGATCCGTTAGCAATATACAAGGACGAGGGATTGACCTGTGGCGCAGTCGGGGAGCGGATTGAGGGGGAGACACAGAGTACTATCCGTGAGGGAATTTTGAATGATGCCATGGATGATGCAGTCGAGCTGGATGGCACCCTTTACAGTAACGAATCCGACTGCACCGAAGATGATGTCGAATCAAATGACCAGAGGATGTTGTTACCCGTCCCAAATTCGTTGAAACTATCAGACATGTTTATCAACTTAGAATCCCTAGCGTACGAGTGTGATGTATTGGAAGCGGCTATGCACTTGAGGAACGCCAAACAGGCCTTCATCTCTGCACGGGCTCATGCCAAGAAACATGATACAAGACAAGCGGTCATAGATGACTTCTTTAAGATGTAAATATGTTACGCTTGGGCAGTGTTAATGGATTGTGTGTTGTTCCCAAATATTTGTATATGAGCCTGCTTTGTATAGTGCAATCCCTCGAATAGTGCCATAGCTAGAGGTCTGTCACGCTATAGCACTATATCGTAGGAGGCACTGTATTTCTTTGTGCTCGAAAAGGGCCCTAGCACTGCTGGCACAAGCAACGCTGACACTAATCCCGCTGTCCGTTTTGCAAAAGCTTTCATATATTCTGCGTTATGATAGAAAACGTGCAGAACCCCCGGCAAAAAAGATAGTAACACTTGAAGTCAAACCCCCCCAAGCAGAAACTGTTCGCACGATTCCCGCGAAACTCAACCTATGTCATGCTTATAAAGAGGTGCAAGCTACAGTGTTCAATTCCCAAAGAACTGAGAAGCCGTTTGAACTCCAGCATGGCTCGCACGAAAAGTCTCACAGACTTTGAGAAGGGACAAATTTTGGCTCACCATTCAAACTGCTGGTCACTTGCAGCAATCGCCAGGGAGCTGGACCGTCCTAGGAAGGTAGTACAGGGAGCTCGGTACGGCACCAAGAAAAGTCCGAGAAGACCCCGAAAATTAACTGACTTTTGTGAAAGAATAATAATTCGTTCGGCGTCACAAGGAAATTTGAGCTCAGCTGGTATCGTCAAACCCCTATAAGTCCCCGGCAAAGCCCGTAGGGTCCGCCAATTGCTTCAGAACACCTTGCATCTGCGGTACAAGCGCCTGCAAAGAACCCCAGCGATGCAAGAACGCCATGAAAAACAACGCCTAACATGGTCTATGGAGAAAATGACTTGGACGCGCTCTCAGTGGGACATAATCGTGTGGTCCGATGAAAAGAAATTTAATTTTGGACGGACCTGACGGGCTGGCGTACAAATGGCACGATTTGCGTAGAAAGCAGTGGTTTTCGAAGCACCACAGCGGAGGAGGCAGCGTCATGGTTTGGGGTTGTTTTGCAGGCCAGAGAACGTCATCTGTAGTGATACTAAGCGGCACTGAGAACCGCATCAAATATGTCGACACATTACTAGAGTATTTGCCTCCTTTTGCGGACGGCCTTCCCCTTAATTAGACGTTTATGCAAGATGGAACGCCTCGCCACCGGTCGTCGGTGGCGAAAGCTTGGCTCAGAGACAATTTTATAAACGTTCTTGACTGGCCTGCGTATTCTCCGGACCTCAACCCTATCGAGAATGTGGGGGGATACTGGTCAGAAATGTTTATGCCAATCCACGGCAATTTGAGGACAGTAACTCTCTCGTGGACTGTATCGTCGCAGCTTGGAACAATTTATCAACTGAAACGCTGGAATCCTTGGTCTACTCGATGCAGAAACGCTGCATAGACGTCGTACAAGCTAGGGGTAAAAAGATAGACTACTAAACGTCAACGGTTTTGTCTCTGCGAGCGTCACCATTAGCTTTCTTTCAAAGTGTTTCTATCTTTTTTTGCCGCGGGTTCTGCACTTTTTCTATCATAACGCAGAATATATTAAAGCTTTTGCAAAACGGACAGCGGGATTGGTGTGAGCGTCGCTTGTGCCAGCAGTTCTGCAGCCCTTTTCGAACATAAAGAAATACTTCTTGCTGGACATTCACAAACCTAACATGTGCTATATTTTTTGCTATCACTGTATATGAAGAGTGCATGTAATCCCGTCGCACGAAAGATGCGATAGATATCATACCGGTGCTGTCATCATCCTCTTAGACTATAAAAACACATGCATATTTGGACAGTCTTTTATGACACTCGTTGTGCAGGTGTTTTAAACGTTGTGAAGCCCTTCGACACTGCGGACATCTGCATTTAGCCGTCCATGGCGTAGTTCCTGTCGTTAAGAGCATCCTCCACGGTGGCCTTTTCGAAAGTCTATTGATCAATAGCCCGTAGGTGTTTCCTTTTTTTGGAAAATCGTCTTCAGCGGTTGTTTTTTGGGTGTCTATCTCGTTCCGTTTTCAATGGGTCTATTCTGGGATCTATTCAAATCCTCAGTAGACCCTCCATGCGACAAAAGCAACTGGGCTAGGGTATCTATCCGGGACCGTGGCCGCACGATAGATGCAATAAAATACTTATTCTACGCCCTTAGCGGTCTGTGAAATTGTGTGTGTCCTTCTTCCAACCTTTGATGATTTGCCCATACTTACATAGACTTTGGGATCACGCAAAATTACACTAAAAGAGCAGGTTCGTGTCTGGAAACCTCTCATAGGTTGTAGACCCTTTATATCATCCAATAGAATTTGATGACTATCTCAAATTTTAATAAAATAACGCCGCGTAAACAATACCAATTTAGCACGCTACAATACATCACACGTGTTGTGCTGAACACTGCTGAATAAAATACTGTGGTGCCAACGCACCCTCCAAGTGCATATCGAGTCCATGTTCGTTACATTCACCTCCTTCCTATTGACGCCCACATAAAGCTTTAATTTATATTGTGGGAGAACGTCGGTTTCTCTATTACACCGCAGATACAGTATGCATCTGTGACAGTGCCATTTGGATCCACAAAGTGCGAAACTGGCTGCCATTCAGCACATATATCAGAGATAATCTCA